AACGAACGCTTCCGTTCTTGTCCCAAAATTGTTTTCGTTTTCTCTTGTAGCGAACGTTTCGAGGAATTTGCTTACGACGGTTCGTTAGCATATGTCTCGCGGTAATTAACAATTACACGGAGCCGTCATGTTTTCCACAACGCGTAGGGAAAAAATTAAATGGTTTTTAATATGTATTCAGAGAATGTTGATTCATCATATTATTCTTTCAAACTTGTTTTCCTCCTTTTGAAAATTTACACCAAGAGAAACTTTTGTTACATGTTACTTTATATTGATTTTTTTTAACATCTCTATTTCTTAAAAAGGAAACGAAAACCGTAGAAGAAAATTATTAAACTTATCTTTATCGTGTTGGGAATTCATTCAATTTTATCGCTATGTGTCTCAACTTCTCTTGTTCAAAACAAAAAACTAATTTATAGCTTTTGATTTTACATATAATTGCTAAATTTCAGTTTTGTCACATGCGATTTGTGCGAGCTTATTTCGTGGAGCAAATATTTTGTTGCGTTTTCGAGAAAGTGTTTATCCGATCATTAGCAAAACGACGCGATGCATTTATATTCGAACACGAGGGATTATGCGCAAATTTTTGCATTGTTTGCGGATTTTATAACTCTATTGACGAATATAAGATCTAAGATCTTTCGCATAATTGATTTACGATTAAACTCGCGCTTTATTGAGGCTCAGATGTACACCCGTCTGTATCACGTCAATAAAAATCTGACAGCAAAACGTGTATATGAATTCATTCGTTTAGAAAAGGATGCGCGTTGACCTTAGAAGCGCACGTTGGAATTTCATCCGGAGGGAAAAAAACTTTGTCGCGTTTTTTTAATATTTCTGATTCTCAAAATAAATTCTTCGTGTATATTTTTTCGTGCTCATAATATTATTTGATACGCGCCCCCATACGCGCCGCCATACGCGCCGCCGTACGCGCCGCCGTCGGCGTCAAAATGGCCTTATATATAACTCATATAGACTCATTATATGAACTATAATAAATAGAGTTTCTTGTCCTAAATTACATTACCGTTTTTCTTTCTTCAAATATACCCTAGAATCCTAACACCACTTTTCCAGAAAATCCTGATTTTACCATACTAAGAGTAGCTACCCAGTGTACTTGTAAGAGAAAGAGAGAGAGAGGGACAGGGATGAGAGAGAGGGAGAGAAAGAGAGAGAGAGGAATAAATGGGTGCATGCAAATTACATACATAGGAGAGAAAGGAATAATACGAGAGATATATGTCCTTGTCTAACGAGGCATATCTGTACGACATATCTCTCAAAGCTCGTTCTTTGAAACGACTTCATAGATCGCAAAATCCTTTTACAGGAGTAAAGTTTAGGTACTAATAAAGGGTGGGATTGTAAAATAATTAGTAATAATTGAAAAAAATGTAAAAATGCCTAACGAGATATCTGTACCACATGGGCCCGCTTCTCTAACGAGAAACGTATGCGCAAACACTGCTCTAACAGAAAGGCTGCTGATTGGCTATCGCACAGTTTTTAGCCAATAAGCTTGCAGCTTTTCTGTTAGAGCAGAGTTTACGCATACGTTTGTAGATAGAGAATCGGGCCCTTATCTGTCAAAGCTCGTTCTTTGAAACGGCTTCATAGATCGCAAAATCCTTTTACAGGAGTAAAGATTAGGTACTAATGAAGGGTGGGATTGTAAAATTATTAGTAATAATTGAAAAAAATGTAAAAATGTCTAACGCGATATCTGTACCACATATCTTTCAAAGCTCGTTCTTTGAAACGGCTTCATAGATCGCAAAATCCTTTTACAGGAGTAAAGTTTAGGTACTAATGAAGGGTGGGATTGTAAAATAATTAGTAATAATTGAAAAAAATGTAAAAATGTCTAACGCGATATCTGAACCGCATATCTTTCAAAGCTCGTTCTTTGAAACGGCTTCATAGATCGCAAAATCCTTTTACAGGAGTATAGTTTAGGTACTAATGAAGGGTGGGATTGTAAAATAATTAGTAATAATTAAAAAAAATGTAAAAATGCCTAACGAGATATCTGTATCATATATCTGTCCTGGTTCGATTGCTGTGTAGGAACCAGACAATGTAGCCAACCCCGAAACTGTCCACAGCTCCGTGCGCCATCTCGCCATCTCTCGCAAGATCCGTGAACTACTGCTGTGACATAATTGCTGCTCTGCGTGAATATTTTTGTGAAAAATATACACGATCGTTTCAAAGCTCTCATTTTTATTCCAGGCTTTCAATCTCAATTTCAAAGGTACGTTATTGTTTGTGCACGTCTTCTGAAGGGTGGGAAAGTTTAATTTCGTACATATTACGTATACAACTGTTTATATCAGAAAATAAGGTTATGAGGTGACAGCATTTAAACATTTTTTTCAATTATTACTAATTATTTGACAATCCCACCCTTCATTAGTACCTCTACTTTACTCCTGTAAAAGGATTTTGCGATCTGTAAAGCCGTTTCAAAATGAGAGCTTTGAAATGAATTGTCGGTAATTTGGACGGCTTTAGCATCCCCTTAAGACTTGTGAAAAGTATATCTTGAAACTATTATTAAGAAAATATTCTTTGTTTAAGAGAACTATTACTTAGAAGAAAAAAGCATAAGTAATTGCTTTCCTTGGCTGTAGAATAATATTTTTCTGTGTGCAGATAAAAAAATTAATAACTTTTATTTAATATTATACGCACTTTGCATTTCGGTAATGATATTCGTGTTAGGAACACTTAAGGTATATATATATATATATATATATATATATATATATATATATATATAGGCTCTATAATAAAAGATCTAAACATTTCCGCTTAGAAACATCCGCGTTTGAGATCAAAATTCCATGACAGTTCTAAGCTGAATCCCGCTTAATCGTGAATGTCTGTATTAATGGTGGCCCTGAAAGAACCAGCTGCGGGCGATCGAAAGACATTGACGAGACCACGCTGTATCTTGCCAAAACATCGTATCGACAGTTATTAACCGTCAGAGAAGAGGTTTATTTACGGATTCCTCCTGTGTCACGCTTTCGCGACCGTGACGACGGATTGCTCTATTTCGGGACTTGTAAACTGGAATCGCAAAACGGTCTTAGTGCCAAAGGTTAATTTTGTATCCGAAAGGTGTCCGTCACGTACATAATGGAGCACATTGAAATTACGACCCTATATAGCGTCGAAAGAGAAAAACCGTGATAAATGACATGATAAATGACGTGATAAATGATAGATACAACGAATGCGTTTGACGTTTAACATTTTAGTGGAGAGATGAGAAGAGAGATAGGGTTTATATAGTAATAAATAGAGAATCTTTGTTGCCGTCAATACTGTCGAAAATAGTTTTCTTTACTATAGTCATACTATAGTCAGAAAATAGTCTTCTTATAGTTTTCATATTTATGTCAAACGCCTCTGGCACCAACATCGTCCTGCGTTAGCAGTTTATACTTTGTGGAAATCGCGAGCATTCAGAATAGTCGGGATCGCGCCATCAAACCGCTTGGCTCCATCTGGCGAACCACGTCCACGACTTCAGCAACGTTTCTTCAGCTTCCCTAACTCATCGATCTTGATGTCGTCTTATCATCGGAAACGTTCTCGTGAATCGTGATATCGGCAAAACGGAGGCCTACTCTTCTAAAATTCTCTTCGCAAATCTAGCCCATAAGAAACCACACGGAAGCTTTCCCGATTTGGTGAGCTTTTAATATGTTGTATTCTAGATCAAAATAAGAGATACTCTCATCACTTAATATTTTTTTCCGAAACATAACTTTATTATATGTGGTTGAATTCATAATAAAATAACCTTTAATATGGTACTAAACATTTTTTAAATTTTGAAAAAAAATTTTAAGTGGTAGAGGTAGGTACTTTAAAAAAGAAAAAATATATCAAAAATTTCTCTTCATCATTTTAAAATATTCTTAAAACCATACAAATTTTATTAAAACAATTTTTTCTATCTTTTATAGTTTCGACGGAAAGAGAAAACCGATCAAAGAGACATTTTACTCCCTAAATATGCAACTGGGCACGTGAAAAAAAAGTATTCCTTGTTTTGATCTAAAATACAACGTATTAAAAGCTCATAAAAATCGGAGAGAGACGCTTCCATGAGATTCCTTGTTAGATCTGGTGCTGAAGATATGGATTTGATTACCACAATGTCGTACGATCAACTCGGACATAACTGCTCAGATAGCAAGGAGAATTGAAAAAGAATTCTTTTTAAATTCCCGATTTATGAAATAAATTATTTTTCCATATCATTTCTAAAAAGACTCTTAAAAGTGTATAAAAAGAAATTTATTTCTATATCATCAATTCTAAATCCTTCTTCGGATACAAAAGACATTCTTTTTCTACTCCATAAGAATTCGCAATAAATTCGAAATTATGCTTGGTTAAATACTATTCCAATGGAGCTTTTTCTGAATGCTATTTTGTATCTGAAGAAGAATAAGAAAGAATCCTTCATAATTTATCCAAAAAGGATTTATCAAAAATCTTCTAATCCAGTTTTTGTATCAGAATAAAATGTACTAGTGCATTTTGCTATTTCTGCACTGCACGATATCTCGGAGATATCACGAAAAAAAATATTAGTATCTCACAGGCTCGCCTTGTATCCTAGCGCGTGAAGATTTTTGCTTACAAGAAGGTACCTGGCGTATGTAGCCGCGTCGCGGCAGCGCATGCTATTAGCGCTCGCAGTCTTTTTTGAAATATCAAAAAGGAATTATTTTTCAATTAATTTCGAACAAATTATGCAAATTCATAAAGAATTTGAAAAATGATAAATCCTTTTTGAGTTCTTTTGATCATAACGATTATCTGTGCTATTTGGACACGCAGAGTCTGAGAGTTTTCAATGTAAATCTCTGGAATTAGGCAAACGCGCACGCGAGAGGCGCGTTCTCCAAATCCTTCTAGGTCTATTAATGCTCTAATTGTGATCGCAAGGCTCGACATACCGATTGCGGCGGCAGTGGCGATGTTCGATTGTCGTAGGATCTATAGCCGGTGGTCGTGTGGATGCGCGCGCCATTCAGCGATCCGTAACCGGGCGTCGCGTTACCTCCAACGTGATTTCCTTCCGACGACACAGTATTCTGCAGATCTGCCAGAAGCGCATCTGGAAATACAATAGGTCGATGGATTAGTTTCACGTGCAATTTAAATTGCAGACGGACCAAACTAATCATTAAAGGAAGTTTAAATCTATCTCGTAAAAAATCAACTCGTGTAATTTCTCATATAATCTCATACCCGTCAAGGCATCTCCGCTATTTCGGACTTTTGCCGCGATAGTTAATTCTTATTTTTGTAGAAACAAATAGGCGGAAACTACGTTCCCGCCGTACATTAATTCCTTCACTTGTCGCGATTAATATATAAAAAATAAATGAAAATGGTTTAATTAATGTCCATTTCTATTAATACAGATTAACTTTAATCTCGGTTTAACTTACTTTTTGTCTTTTTCTGGTTCTAACAACTAGAAAAAGATAAAAAGTAAGTTAAACCGAGATTAAAGTTTATCTGCATTGAGATGGAAATGGATATAAGACGGACATTCACGACTAAATGAGATCTAAATTAGAATCGTAAAAATTTTTAGTAGAAATATTTCTAAATTGAAATGTTTAGATTTATTATTTAAAGAGCTCTTATCTTTATTTCCTGTTTATTACTCCATAAATTAATAACGGTTGAAGATTTCATTATTACATACTACCAACTTCTTAACTATATTGCAGTAATTATTCTTATTCAGACTACAGAATAATAAACAAGAAATTAAATATAATGGATAAACTTCCGAAAACCTTCCACACCCAAAGGACCACGCACTAATTATATGAAAAAAGTGGCCACCGTTAAAATCGACGAAAATTACGGAAAACTGTAGTTTGTGTGATGCCGATGAAAAGTTCAAATCCG